GCCAGAGGAGAAGGAAGGTGGCGGAGTGGGATTGGATCTGTACGAATTGCGCATGTGAAAAAAATTGCCTAGGCTCTAATACCATGTTAGGAAATATGCACCTTGTATTTCCTGGGAGGGGGGTGTGGTAAATATGCAAGAAACCCCTCACACAACAGGGAAAATATACAGGCTATACATGGAACACAATATAACTCTTAACATTAAACAGGTAGCTTTTGAAATTTAACTACCAGCCAACGTTATCTAACCTTATTGGACAATGTAAGTTAATGTTATCTACAATATCTAAAGCTAGCCCCAGTACTAGGAATTCTCTCCCTTCTCCTTGAGCCACAACATCAAAATTAATTTAGCTGTTGGATATACTAGATCAGTCTACAATAGCCATCCAATCTACACGTTGAGAGCAGCTCCGCCAGGCACATGCAGTAACTGATGCATGCATGCAGTAACTCACGCCTAGAGTGTGTTTTAATCCGGAGAGAAAACAGACGCATGCATGCAGCTCACACTCCTGTGCTCCATGGAAGAAAGCCGACATATGTGCACATTTTGCTTAGATATGAAACCAAATTAGCTTGCTACAAGATGAATCGTAAAGACACTAGCTAGGTTGATTAGTTCACGCAGTTTTTGTTTTATACAAATTTTTGCAGCAGCGCGCCGTGCATTCGTCTATTTGTCTTCAAAAATATATATTGAATCAGCCTAATTGAGCAAGAAAACTCTTCCATGATACTAGCCCAATTGGCAAACCTGATAAAGCAAACCTACAACAAATATACAATCCAATGACCCAAATATCTACAGCGATGCAAAAAAAGCAAAAATCGCCTAGTAAGGTCATATGCTAGTGCTGCGTTTGACAAAAGAACCAAATTAACCCTAAATCTAACCTCTGGAAGAGCAAAATATACTCCCTTAACATGCTCAACGACTTATTGACAGTTACATGATTTATTCAGGCAGTCGTGTTAGAATTCAACGAGCAAATGTTCCACTGAGCATAAAACCAGAGTCATTGGCAATGAAAAAAGTAGTGTAGTGAGGGAATGAAGAGACTATGATGTACCTCCCATAATACTTGTGCAGCTTCTTTGTGGGAAATTTCAACATGTTAATATAAATGGTAGCAAGCTGAATCAGCTGCTTCTGAGAATTCTCGAACTCTATGTACTTATCCCAAAGGTGATAACACAAGTAATCCTTTCCAACAAGAGACATAGCCCTCTCAAATAAGCTGTCAAAAAAGCCATAGCAAAAATTAGTGATGGCACAACAGCAACATAACAACAACAAAATCATGAGCTGACCTGGTACAAAAAGGACCAAAGGGGTATCAAACGGATTAAAGGATGTTTATTCAACAATATTGTGCATCTATAACTTGCTGCAAGAGATATCGATATTATATTCTATGCATCTATAACTTGCTGCAAGAGATATCAATATTATATTCTAACACATTACAGTATACTCTTTCCATTTAACAGTATATTTTAATTTCATTGGGTAACATTGTTTCACATACTAATCCAAGCACAAACATTATACCATGAAATTTTAAACTTCAATCAATCAGACAGATAGAGAGATGAGTAATTTAAGCATCTTGTTTAAGAAGGTCAAAATTTCAACATTGTTTTATTTCCCCGGTTCTTTACTTCCGCAGTCCTCGTGCTCAGGAATCAAGATTTCCCCAATCAATACATAACAAACATGATGCTCCATCCATCCATTTTTACAAGGTCTAAGTTTTGAATCTTATACCAAGGCAATAGCCCAAAAGTTGAAGCAAATTAGGCAGCCAACCAAATTGCAGTAAGTGGCTGCGCATGCAAACTCCATTTAGTGCATAGGCCCACACTTTCCCCTCTATTAATTCCTCCATCCATTTATTTAGTGCTAATCCCTCGTATGCATGTGCATCACTATTGGTAAGGACTGTTTGCATGCATGCACAACCTTAAATACCGATGGAAAAGGCCAGGCGTGGTGTGCTACATAGTAATGGCCACGCGCGACGCGAGGCCAATTCGGCCTAGTATTTTTGGAAAAACTGATTTTGGGGTTAGGCCTTGTAAAAATGGATGGAGGGAGTACAAATTATAGAAGTCTACACTACATGGAAAACATGACTGGTCTATTTTCTAGTAGTTGATCAATCTGTATTCTATCTCCACCTAATGTTATAATTTAAACAACATGAAATGCATGCATGATTGCTGGTCCACGAAGTACTGTCGGTTTGAAACCTTTAAATACCTGAGATCCTAAAAACATACAGGCGAATGCACTGTGAGAAAATTTGTTTATACAAAGAAAAGAAGGGAAAGGATCCAGAGAGATTTGGTTCTGGAGAAAAGAAGGAACAGGTTACATCTGTGTCTTCTTTACCTTCTAACAAGGGCAGGGTCTTCATACGCACTCATAGCAAATCCACAGTAACTGACCCAAAGATCAGTACAATGAGGTACTGCTTGGACGGCTTGTTCATAAACCCCCACCACATCATCATATGTACATAACCTTGCTTTATGAGCTGCGTATTTAATCCAGTAGCCGTGGCACAAAGGAAATTCCAATAAGAAGGTATCGTAGACCAAGCTAATAACCCTTATGTCATTCTGGAAGAACGCAAACATCAGTAACCAGATGCTGCTTAAAATACATTGGTCTGGCATGCAAAAGTGTTGAAATTTGAAAAGAAACGTTTTCCCTTTTGTTTGTGAGGTTATATGATAATGAATAGGAAAGGTGATGCGTAGTGGTTCTAAACTACTAAAAACTAATTAGAACAAGATAAAAAATCACTTACAACAGAAGTTTCCTCTGCAGAACTTATCAATGATACCCACGTATCAAAATCACTCGTATTTCCATCAATCAATAAATGAAGTCTGCTCTTGAAAACATCTGTGTAGAATGATGAAAGAACAAGTCATATCCTGGGTATAATTGAAATGCAAATCCACCATCAACTATCTGAACTGATATAACTCAAAGCTACATCCCGCATGTAAGAAAACCCCAACTACTAATTACAGAGCTCAAAGTGGTGACGCGCAAGCATCCCAGTGCCTTCGAGGTTCTCTCTGACATTTTTAAACGGGACAAATTACCAGCCAAAAGGAACAAAATGGCAGTGCAATATAACGAAATGAAGAGCCTGCCACTCCCTAGAAAGAGGTTTGGTACCAAATCCCCACCGTTCCTAGGTCTGGATGCTCAGCGTTAGCATAGCTGATAGCTAGCACCGCTAAAAATTGGACAAATTTATCAAAACAAAACTGAGTTTAGCACGGAGCTGGTGCTCTGAAGAGCCTCATATTTGACAGATATCCGCATCAATTTAACAAATCGCATTCCTTCAAATAGATAATTAGGTAATCCCACGGATGTATGTACAGACGGGCTGTGCTCACCGAGCTGCGACGCAGAGGGCTCCAACCCCAAGGCCACGAGCGCGGCTGCAGCCTCCGGCTCCGCCTCCATGTCCACCGTCCCCGGCGGCCCTAGCATGCCGTCCTGGAGCTTTTGCGGGGTTGCGCGGTCGGAACCTCAGAGGGCGGCGTCTGGTTGGGTTCAGGTACCGAGTCTGTACTGTAGCACTTGCGAACCACTCTTGACGACCGGAGAATTGAGAAACTAGATGATGCCGGAAATATTTTGCAGTATTTTAGTGAGATTTTTGTTATATGGAACATGAATATTTAAAATAATAGTTTTTAAAATTATATGTGAAATAAATTTAATATTATAATAGAATGAAATTTTACATGCATGCATGTTTGCATGTTGAAGTGGATTTTTAATATGCATAGTTGCATGTTGAGGTGGGCCTTTCCTATGCATGTTGAATGATGGGGTGGCATGCTTGCATGTTAAGAGAAATATGTTAGTGGGGGCTAGCTATTTAGATATAGAAGATGCGCGTATGCTCCGAGCGGCAGCTCTATTCCTGCCCAAATCTGGCCATGTGGGCCGTGTTTTTAAGGCCGGCTCGCCGTCCGGGTCAGCCTTCAGCAGGCCACGAAACAAGGCCAATCAAAAGCAAATCTTGAAATCGGACCGACGCGCCTCTTTTTTTTTTGACAATTATCTCTTCAGTCATCTAATCTTGGGGGTATAAAAGCGGCTGCATCGGCTCCGTCTGTGAATCACTTATTGTTTGTAGATGACAGCCTGTTGTTTTTTAAACCGAATGTAGAGAGGGTGGAGGAAGTATCTCTTTTGTTGGAAACTTATGCTAAGACTTCTGGGACAAAGAGTTAACAAGGACAAATCAGCGCTATTTTCTAGTAAAGGTTGCCCAGATTCGGTTAGCGTACTAATAAAAGATGTGTTGCAGATCCCTAATGAAAGTCTCAATGTAAAATATCTCGGTATGCCGTCTGAAGTGGGACTATAAAAAAATGGGGCTTTCAAGTATTTGAAGGACTATTTCTGGAGCAAGATACGTGGTTGGACAAGTAAGCTTGTGTCTGCTGCAGGTAAGGAGGTTTTAATAAAATATGTGGTACAAGCGATTCCGGTCTGCTCCATGTCTTGTTTCAAACTATCGCGAGGTTTATGTGAACACTTAACTTCTGCAATCCGAGCTTTCAGATGGGGGGTAAGCAAAGAAAAAAGGAAACCATATTGTGTGGCATGGTAGAAGAAGACAATGCCGAAATATATAGGGGGGCCTTGGTTTTAGGGACTTTGAAATTTTCAACTTGGCTCTTCTTGCAAAAGAGGCATGGAGGATCTTAGATAATCCTAATTCTTTAAGTGTGTATTCTGAAACTTCCCACAAAAATCAATTTTGGATGCCCAACTTGGAAGCCACCCCTCGCAAATATGGAGATCACTGATTGAAGGTCATGATATTATGAAACAGGGAATTATTAAAAGGATTGGCAATGGAGCTTCTACTAAAGTATGGTTAGATAACTGGATACCGCGTGATGGCATGATGAGCACTGGTTGCATGGGTGTCTAACCCACCTGAGTTGGTGTTCGAGCTCATTGACATGCCCAACGCACGTTGCAATGTGCAGTTGCTTTAGGAGGTTTATTTACCATGCGATGTTGAGATGATAATGCAAATCCCTATATGTCTCCAGGTGATGGAGGATTTTTTGGGCATGAAATTATGAAAGATCTGGTAAGTTCAGTGTCCGGTCTACATATAGGATGATACTGGACACAAAAAAGCGCATGGAAGACTGGCTTAATCAGCGGGCAGAATCCTCTAACAATTCAGCAACCGAGAAGGCTTGGACAATGTTATGGAATACCGAGGTACCGGCCAAGGTACGGGTGTTCCTATGGCGTCTTGCACATCAATCCCTACATACGAAGGATGTGCGAATGCATATGAATATGTCGAACACTAGTGCTTGCGCTGTCTAGAGAGTGTAGATTCATGGAGGCATAGCTTGGTCGAGTGTACCATGGCACGATGTGTTGGAGCGGATGGTGGATCATGATCTTCTTGACCAGGTGATAGCGAATGGGGAACCAAATGCAAAGTCCTAGCTATTCACGATGATAGAGGCATTACCGCATGAGGGTGTTCATAAAAATGACAGTGATGCTTTGGGCCATCTGGAAAGCGAAGAGGAAGCTCATCCATGAAAGAATTAATGATAGCCCTTTGTCGACTCATTTACTGGTGACAAATTTTATTTGCAGTGCTGGCTGAAATTGACCGCCTAGGCCAGGTACGAGCTACTGGGATCACTATTCATGTGCGCCAAACGGGAAAGAATTGGAAATTGACGGGGAAGTACACGATCAACGTGGATGTGGTTGTTTCAAGCCAAGGTTGTCTAGGTACAGGAGCCACTGTTTGTCGAGACGTACATGGGGTATACATGGGCTCTTCTATTTATGTTATAAGGGGGATGACTGGTCCTACATCCCTTGAAGTGGTGGCATGTCATGAAGCCCTCTCTTGCGAAAGACCTTGGAATTCGACAAATACATATCGCATCAGATTGCAAGATAGTGGTAAATCATATTCATGAGGCTACAGGTGTGAGCTACGGTGGGGTGATCAAGGACATCAAGCCGTGGGAACGTTCTTTCATTTCATGTAATTTTGTTCACGAGTCAAGAGACTCAAACTTTGAACCATATACTCTAGCTAGGCACACTCTTTTACTAGATCAGAGGAGGCATGTTTGGTTAGGTCTTCCCCATGACCAGGACGTTTTACCTATTTTTTTAAATATTGATCAATAAAGCCTAGCAGAGGTTACTCAAAAAAATCATAAGAACTGTACCATCGCTTACAATAAGAGAAATAACCACGTATCCCTGACTTTATTCTCTCCAACATTGTAAACGATGGCTACCATTTGAGGAATAAAGTCTCTTTTTTCAAAAAAACACATCCGGGGGGTAGTGTCCATCCATATATTTGGAGGAGAAAATCTAGCTATCCTAGCCAGTTCATGATCTTCTTGATTTTTTCTCAATTACAGTGATCATAGATGACACGAGTAAAGTCAAACGACATAAAATAACAGTCATCAAAGATAGCAGAAGCTACTGAAGAAGAATAACCATTGATTAGAGCGACAACAACCTCCAAACTATCAGAGTTGGCCACGATTTTAATGCATCCAACTGTATGTGCCAGGTTCATTCCAAACCTCACTGCAACTGCCTCCGCCGTGAATGAGTCAAAGCAAAGATCAATCTTTTCATTTGTGGCTGCAATGAACTTTCCATGATTGTCTCGGATGACTGCTCTGACCATCTCCTGAAGCGTGTTCACATCAAAACATGCATCAACGTTTACCTTAATATAGCCATATGTTGGTTTCAACCAAGCATATGATCTCACTTTGGCCTTAGGACTGTATGAGATACACTACTGCAGGATGCTGCTAACGTGACACTATGATCAGAGACCCTTCCAGAAACTGTGTGCGATGCAATAATTGCAAAGGTGTTGTATAAAAACCGTCAGCAATGTGTAAAATGTTTGCGATGACAGATGCATCAAACACAGTTCAAGTTTTATTTGCGTGTGCGATGAAGGGCATATGGTTCAGTTCAATGAACTATTTGCGATGAGGAGGAACAAAAGAAACGGGCAGCCAGATGAAGGCGTGTGCGATACACGGCATACGGTTCACTCGGATGAACTATTTGTGATTAGGTAACACAAAAGAAACGGTCAACTAGATCAATGGTGTGTGCGATATACGGCATGCGGTTCACTCAGATGAACTGTTTGCGTTGAGACATGGGAACAGGAACGGTCCAAATGAACAAGATGTGTGTGATACGAGGCATACAGGTCTGTAATTGGAGACATGTGCGAAGACCGATAACAACACAGACGATTACTGCTAACAAGCCGTGTGTGCTGAGAGCAAACGATTGTTGGTATACAATTGTGAGTGATTGATGAAAACATCACCGATGGGTTCCATTGTTTAGTCCGTGTGTGATGTGATTTTCTTTGTCCGCACAACATCTACGCTCTGTCTACAGCATCAACATATATACTTAAAAGGACAGCATTGCATAACCAAATTAAGCATACAATTACACAAGTGACTACACACATAACATTTCCACACACCAAAGAAAGCAATTACATGCATACTAAAGTAGGAGAAACGAGGATCTAATCATCTACTTATTGTTGCGACGAATCTTGCCATTGCTCTGCTTCCGGCTGGATCCCTGCCCGTTTTGGGAAAGGAAGGACTTCCTCATGTCAACGATCTGTCTGTACATGTCGTAGCTCGTGTACGTCTTCTTGGTCACATACACAACGTGAGCTTTGTCGAGTTTCTCCATCTAGGCCGAGTGCCAGGCACGCTTGTCCTTGTTGCACGAATCCTTCATGTCTCTGTAGTAGGGGTCGATGATGGCCTCGGCGAGGTGAACCAGTGAGTCCTTCTCATGCTCCTTGTTGCCCCTAATCTTATATTGCCACTGGATGTCGACAAGATTCTGGCAGGCGATGCCCGAATTTTCGAGCGCCTTTACATCATTGGTGATGCCCACCATAGCGAACATGTAGTGGGGGCTGTTGACAAACCTGGTGAAATGCTCGCAAGGCCTTGTGGCCAGGCAGTAGTGGTAGACGAGGACGTGGTGGCGCATGCACATCTGGGCGACGGTGACCTTGGGACGAGACCCGACACGAGCGTAGGTGTACTCGAGGTCGAACCCGACCACCTTGTACTTCTCCTCGGCAAGCAACGGCTCCATGATGTGGATGGAGTGCTCCGCCCAAACCGGGTCATTGGTGTACACCATCGAGAGGTCCATGAACCTTCTGTGGGTGTCCACCATGGCACGCATGGTGAACTGCTGCTCGTCGTCGACAGCCGCTCGAAGCGCCATTGGAGTCGTGCAGGATACCCTCTAAGAATTTCTCGTGGTGGGTGTGCTTCTTGCATTGGTGGGGCATGATCGAAAGATTGAAGAGACACAAGGGTAGGTTAAATGGCGGCTGTAATAAATGGGGGCCGGCCGGCCTGTAATCGTCACCTCTTGTCACAACATTC